TGGATAGGATAGTTATTTAAAAAAAATTAACTCATTCGGGTCAGGTCGATTGATGAGCAATTTAATAATTAAAAATTATATAAAAAAATCACTATAAAATAAAAAAAATATCCTTAAAAATAAAAAAAAATATTGGTGTCAGTAAACTTTTTTATCTCTTCACAATTATTTTTTTCATTGGTATCGGGTCAACTTAAAGATAATTTAAACATATGTGTGAAGTTAACAAAGCATGTAATGCCTTTTGGTAACCTAAATCCTCATTTCATTGTATCATTGGAAGCATGACTGTATTGTATTTTACTTGGGGCAACTTATGTGATCATTGATGGTAAGGTTTGTTGGTGATAATGCTTTATTTTTTTCATTTCTTTTCTATATTCTCATCCTAAATTTTATATTCGCCATGCAAAAATTAAGAGTTGTCCTTTGATTTATTGAAATTTTCACTTTAATCTTTATTATTTAGATTTTTAATTTTTGTTATTGATCTTTTTGTAAAACTTTATTTTTTAATTTGTTTTTAATTTAATCATTTAACTCCAATTTGGGATATACGGTTTTTTCCAATTTCATTTGTGCTTTTTCTATTTTTTTAGCATTCTGTTAAATTGATTTTTTTAAATTTTATCACTTAATAAAAAATAAAAAATATTTTTTGTTTCAATCTTGATCCTAAATCTTTTAGTTGCTATTTTTTAATTATTTTGATAATTGATTTTTTTTTAAATTATTATTTAACATGTAATTAGGAATTGGATTTCATGATTATTCCATGCATAGTGCTTCTGATCTAATACCCGGGTTATGAGTTTGAAAAATTAACACGGGTTTAATTTTCTTTATAAACGAGCTTTGTAATTTTTTTATATAAAATTATCTTGATCTCATTACCTGAACCAAGAATTTAACTATATAACTCAGGCTGGGTTGGTCTTGATTATCAACGTTATAGTTTGTTATAATAATCTGGGTTGATTAGTGTTAAATTTTTAGATTTTTTTTTATATTTTTACCATTTAATATCTAATACGCTGGAATTGAACTATATTGTTGTTTTTTGTTACCATGATATTTTTTTTGTTATTTATTTTTTTATTTAATTAAAATAAAACCATCATGATATTTTTTTTATAATTTTATCATATATATTGTTGTTACTTTTTTTTATTTAATTAAAATAAAACCAGGTTATTTAACTCAGTTATGTCCCGAGTCTTATTTGTATTTCTCATTTGAAAGGCGTTTGCAATACCATTGATCCTGCAAAAAAGTATAAAATAAAATTGGACCCACAGCTTAGCGTGTGTCCGCAACAACGTGTATAAGAATTTCTTGCTGTCGCGGCAAACGTAATTGTAGCTTGAAAAATATTACTCGAGAATAATAAAATGACCACTTTGAGGTACAGCTCCGTGGCGTTCAAGACAGTGAATCTAAATAATTAATCTCCAGTAAACATTTTTTTTTTTATTATCATCAAATGGCATGTGACCATCACTGGTAACACGCGCGCGCACTAAAGCTGAAAGTAAAAACACCTTACATTTGAAATGACATCTGTGCCTAAAAACCTATTGCTTTTATGCGGGGATATTTTGATATTTTCTCGAGTGCATAATTATATTTTTTCTTGTCTTTTTAAATATGATAAAATGATTTAATTTTTCCTGGGATAAAAAAAATATAAAACTAGCTAAAATAGGTATAGATGTATTTTCATTTAATTATGTACTGTAAATCAACAAATAAATCACAGGGATTAAAAAAATTAAATCATAGGTTCAAGGGGTTTCTAGTCTTTTTATACAGTTTTTTTGTTTTTTTTTGCAATTATCAGGTTATTTTTGCCTTTTAATATCAACGAGATATTATTTAATTTAAAAAATTGTCAGTGAGGAGGAGATACCCATGTATTCTGGGTGACTTGTGCAGTGCTTACTAATTAAAAAAATATATTTTCACCGTGTTATTGAATATCCTGTCGTGTTCCTTTCATTTCCTTATGACGCGTGTCATCAATTTTATGATGATTTGTCATTAATTGATTTTACTTTTTTTATCCAAAAAAAATATAGGTTTATTATTTTTGTTCTTGATATTTGAATTTCAGTTTTTATTTTTTTATCATATATATATATATATATTTTAATCTAGTCTATTTTCTTTTAATTTCTAATCTTTTCATTCTTTGAAAGTTTTGATATTCTTTAATTTCATCATTAAATTTAAATTTTAGTGCTCGTAGTCTAATGATTTAAATTACGAGTTTAAAAAGTTAATATGATTTAATTTTTTTAAATTTTTTCATTTCTTAATTGCATAACCTGAATAATGAATTTTAAAGACTAACTATAATTGGCTTGCTCTTATCACCTAGATTGCATGTTTATATTATTGTCTCCGATTAACTTGAGTCAGGTTTTTTGTATTTTTTGTTTAATTATATATTTTTAAAGATTATTTTTTAAGTTATTGTGTTTTTTTTATAAATTTAATTGTTTATTATCATTATTAATTTTTTTATTATATTATTAAAATAAAATAAAATAAATTCATGAGACTTGTTTTTTTTTTCCTGAAAAAAACACACTTACAACATTATCCATGTATATATTTTTTTTAAAAAACCTGCAGATTAGCAGCACAGGGCCAGCAGATACTGAAACTCAAAAGTATTTAAAAAAAGAGAGGAAGAACATGCTATTTTACTAGGAGGCCCCTCGCGTAACCGGGGAGGAAAATAAAATAAAAAAGCAAATCAATATTACGAGTCAACTGTCACGCACGTGGTCTTCCCTTTTCTTTCTTTTATTCTGCGAGGACAGCTTCCAAAACTTAGTTTCCATGCTCCGAATTCACATATGTCAATTATTGCAAACACCCCCCAACAAACAATAGTCTTTTCTAGACTTGCCTCTTTTGTGTACTCATCTCCCTGCCATTTTATTCACTGCTAGGTAAATTTGCAAGTCAACTATAAGGTCTCCGATAACCTCTGCTTTTCATCTTAAGCTGCTTCTTTATCGCTTTTCAAATAAATCAAAGTCTGTCTTCTTCACAAGCAGTATTCCTTTCTGCCTTTTTTTTTCCCTTCGAGTTTCTGCTCTTTCAGGGCTTGATTCTATCTGTGTTAAGCTTCGTTTTGATGTTTATGCCTTTGTTTTGAAAGTTTTGGGATTTTTCAAGCGAGGAAACTTGGTGTGATTAGTTTCCTTTGGTTGCTGTCCTCATTTCCCCAGCTCTCGAACGTATCTGTTCTGTTTTGTTATCTGGGTTTTCTTTGATAACAATTGTTATCCTTTTTCAATTACCATATCCTGGTTTTATGATCCTGTCTGATTAAAGATCACTATCAATTTATGGCCATTACAGTGAACAATATTCTTATGTGGCCATTCCTTTAAATCTGATACTTATTATACTGTCAATTCAATGTGTCTTGATGAGTTTAAGTGCTTGTTGGGCTTAACTAGAGACATTTAGATCCAATATCATGGAAAGTGCCAATGAAATGACATCTTCTTTGAGTTTCGCTTCATCTTCGTACTTATCAAATGGGTCTAGTATCCACCACGTATCAGCCTCAAATGTTCCTGAGCCTGGCGTAAACCTTGAAAACTTGAGCTTAAACAAGCTTAGTGGCAATCTTGAAAGGCTATTACTTGATAAGGAATATGATTACAGCGATGCAGAGATTTTTGTTGAGGGCACCCCTGTTGGTGTCCATCGGTGTGTATTGGCTGCCCGTAGTCAGTTCTTTCATGAGCTTTTTAAGAAGGGAAATAACAATTCGACGAATGGAGATAAACCCAGGTACCTCATGTCTGATTTGGTGCCTTATGGTGGGGTTGGATATGAAGCCTTTCATGTTTTCTTGCATTATTTGTACACTGGAAAGCTTAAGCCATGTCCGCCAGAAGTGTCACGATGTGTTGATGATGCTTGTGCCCATGATGCTTGCCGCCCTGCTATTAATTATGTAGTGGAATTGATGTGTGCCTCTGCCACTTTTCAGATGAAAGAGCTTGTTTTGCTTTTTCAGGTAAGCAGTGATCTCATGGATAAATTATTATGTGGTCCTATGTATTTTAACTCGCAGCGATTCATAAATAGGGAATGATAATTGACATCTTAATTGCTAGACCAAAATGTGTGTTTCCTCGTCTTTTTTTATTTGTCATGGATTGTGAGGATAGTTTTTTCCTTATTCAACGTTCATTTATCCTTTCAGCGGCGTCTCCTGAACTTTATTGAGAAGGCCCTTGTTGAAGATGTAATCCCAATTCTTATGGCTGCTTTCCACTACCAGCTGGGCCAGCTCCTCTCTCACTGCATCGAAAGACTTGTAAGATCAGATCTTGATAGCACATGCATAGATAAAGAGCTCCCTGATGAAATTTCAAGTAAAATTAAATTACTTCGAAAAAAATCTCTGCCAGAAGCTGAAAGTAGTGTTGAAGAGGTGGACCCCATACTTGAAAGGAGTTTCAGGAGAATCCACCAGGCATTGGATTCGGACGATGTTGAACTGGTGGAGCTTCTCTTGCGTGAATCTAATTTAACTTTAGATGATGCTTATGCTCTCCATTATGCTGTTGCCTACTGTGATCCTAAGATTGTCAAGGAAGTTCTTGGTTTAGGCTCGGCTGATCTCAATCTCAGGAACTCTAGAGGATATTCAGTACTTCATGTTGCTGCAAGGCGCAAGGAGCCATCAATCATAATGGCACTACTAACTAGGGGCGCCAGTGCATCAGAAACTACGTTGGATGGACAAAATGCGGTAGCAATTTGTCGTAGGTTGACTAGGTCAAAGGATTATAATGAAAACACCAAGCAAGGTCAGGAATCTAACAAAGACAGGATATGCATTGATGTACTGGAGACAGATATGCGAAGAAGGACTTCAATGTCTGCAAACGTCTCAATACTCTCGCCATCGGTAGCTGATGATTTGAGCATGAAGCTGGACTACCTGGAAAATAGAGGTAATAAATATTTATTTATATTATCCACTTTCTTTTCGCCAATGCTGAAGATGTCATAAATTCACTCTGCCACACCACAGATTTGGGTAATTATTACTAATCACCATGCATCTTCAAAATATTCTGGGAAGAAATTCTGCAGCAGCATGTTTTAATTTATTAGTTGTTGAATATGTTTTGCCAAATCATAATTTTAGTCTCAAATTGTCATAAAAAATAATCTGGTTTGGTCAAAGACATTTTTTATGCTCTAGCTAAAGAAAATTGAAAGACAAAGGTGTTTGATAAGAAGATAAATCTTTTGTTGAAGGGGAAATTAAGACACAACAATATTTTTACAGTTCTAGAGTAGCTGGTATTTAATATAACAGTAAGGTATCAACTTATATAAAATATGTGCAAATAAATTCTCTAAGACGTGATTTGCTTTTTTGACTGATTTGAATGTTAACTAATGTGATCCGAGTTGATTTGTTTCCATGACATGCTTTTTTATAAGGCAGCTTCCTTGTTAACATGATTTACCATATTGGGGTGAGTTTATTGCCACTAAGACTCCTTCACGTGTTACCATCTCGAATTGAGTTTATTGTTATTGGAACTACTTTATCTGTCAACTTCTCTCTACTAACATAGGCTGATTTGTGGGAGTGTTCATCCTGGTCACTCTAGTTGTTTCGGGTCTCTTTGTCACTTTAGTTACTGTTAATATCCTAACTATGCCTGGGGCTAGAGGCAAAGTTTGCCCTTAAAGTAGCTCTGTGCAACTTTTGACACAAGTTTGGTGAAGATGTCAGTTACTTGATTATTAGCGGAGACATGTTTAGTGATGAGAAGTCCAAGTGCAACTCGTCTACACACAAAATGGTAATTCAACTCAGTGTGTTTGTTCTGAACATGAAACACTGGATTGATCTTCATATGTAGAGCACTGAGATTGTTATAGTAGAGGATTGGTAGAGAAAAGAGTGGAAGGTAAAGATCTTTTAGAATAAAGGTTAGTCATATAAGTTTTGTTGTTGTGTTGACAATGATTATATTTTGCGACAGTATGTTATTTCTTTGCACGCCAAGAAATGAAGTTTCTGCCAAGGAACATGTAGTATCTAGTGGTGAAATGTCTTGTGGTAGGGTAGTTTGTCTAATCTGCATTTGAGAAAGCACAAAGATCAAGTGTAAAATGAGAAGTAAAATATAGACAAATATCAATAGTGCCTTTGACATCTCTTAAATTACGATGAACTATTTTTAAATGTTAATAGTTGGAGCATACATAAATTGAGAGACAAAGTGAACACTGTATGAAAGATTAAGTTTTGTGAGTGTTAGATACTATAAGGTATCAAGAAGTCCACAAAAAGAGTATGGATCTTCCAATAATGTGTTATTTATTGGGGTCATAGTCTTAGCTTTAAGTAATGTGCTCATGGGTTTACAATTCACCATACAATCTCGTTTAAGGATGGTAAGTGCATATTGTGATCGGGAAATATAGAGACCTTCAAATGTGTGAGTGGCCTCGATCCTAAGAAATGATGAATTGGTTCAATATCTTTCATTGCAAATTCTGAACCCAAGAGCTGAATGAAGTTTGTAAATAGAAGAACATAAGATCTTGTAAGAAGTATATTATCAACAAAAAAAAGAAAGATTAATGTATCAGAATTAGAGAAAGATAAATAGAGATGGATCTGCAAGGCTGCAAAAAAAACCATATCTAAGGAGGATTGTACTAAACTAATCAAACCAAGCACAACGTGCTTGTTTAAGACCATAAAGCACACATGTGATGGATATTGTGAATTTGCCATTTGTGGAGGCTGTTTCATATGTATGTCTTCTGAAATTAAACCATGAAAGAAGGTGATTTTTACATCAAGTTAATGTATTGACCATTTCTAAACTAGTGCTATGGTGATAACTTAAGAGAAGGTCTCGGTATAGCTCAATTATTGTTGTTAAAATCACGAGTTGACTCATAAAATTATACGAGTCAACATGTATCTAACATGCAAACTCATATTATAAACTCGAAAACCAGTAAAATCAAACTTGACTCGTGCAAACCCAGTAAATTCAGTCAAAATCATGCAAAATTATGATTTTGCACTCGAGTGTCCTAGTTTACAGCAAAAAACATCTGGGTATTGCAGATTGCATAAATTACACATGGTTTTTGGCATGGACAACAAAAATAAACAATGTACCAAATTGATGTGTCTCAAATGTATTAATTTCCCTACCTTGTTTGGTATTTCTTAACAAGGTATTTCTTTGATTAAAGACCCTGACAGATTCAATGACTTGATGCATGCCAATTGTTTGAATACATCAAGTAGTGTAACTCCAAGTGAAGGGTCTATAGTGTCAATTAAAAGGATGCGAAGACCTTTTGCTTTGTGAATGGGCATGGGAAAAAAAGATCTCCTCTGAAAGCTTCTTGCATAAATGACAAACCCTTTCGTATGAAGTCTTCGTTGTTGGTTCACCAAGATTATTGACATCCATGGTTATAAATTCATTTTTTTTTGTCATAAATTAGGCAAAATCATGTACTATATCATGCATCTTGAATTTCATACCTCCAAACTCATTCATCTCAAATCTTGGAAGAAAGAATGTGGTGCTAAGACTTGAAAGTACTTCTCTCCAATAAACTCTATATCTCTATTTGGAGTCTTTTTAAGGTAACCTTGAGCCATCCACATCTTCACCAACTTGAGTTTGCCCATCTTGTATTCTTTTGGAAACATGGTAGTCTAACCTAATCTTAAGCAAATGATCTATGTTATTGTCTAAACTTCATTAAGAATAACCTCAAATAATCTTTATTGATATAATTGATAAAATTGCCTTTTGTTTTTATCAACCATGTATGAAAAAAATTACTAATGACTTTATAATCTGTTTTTACGATTCAAGTTTACATTTTATTTTTCATGTCATGTTAAAAAAATATTTTTGACAACCTTGAATCCAATCCATCAACTTGGTGATGCTGTTTTGCTACCACTTGGATTTTTAGATGATCTAGTGAACCATCAGGTTTGAGTTTTGGTTTGAGAACCCATTTAGAGCCAATGACGTGCATGACAACTGTGCAAGGAACAAGTTCCCAAGTCTAATTTTTTTGGAGTCTCAAGTTCCTCCCTCTTCCATTTCAGCTTTCTAGCTAGGGTGAGCTAAGGTAGATCGAATGTTATGAGGTTCATGAGGAATGATTGCTGATAATTTAAGGGAAGTTAAAGCATATTTTGAATTGGGCTTAACAATCACTCTTGGTGATCTAGTAATAATGATATGTGGTGGAAGAGGTGCATATGGAGAATGCATGAGCTGGGTGTCTGATTCCAGTTAAACGAAATCATATTATGAAAGAGATGAGTGTTGCTCAAGCATTTCAAGCTCAATTTCAGCTCGTATTGGATGCAACTCGGTCATGGGTTTTGTTCTGTCAAATTGTTGAATGCCAAATCTATTATGTTGTTGATTTTTAGGTTATGTTAGTCCCATTTCAGTCATGATGTCAACCTTAACATACTCACTTGCAGTTGTACTTGGAGTGTTAACAGTAATAGAACTTGCTTTGTCATATGAATCAAAATCAAATGTTGGAATGACTAATAATGAGCTTAAGCATGGTGGAGGGGGTGTTATGGGTTGTATGCTTGCAATAGAATTAGAATTAGTAGGGGAGACAACCATGAATTAAATATGCTCATAACATATGATGTAGAAGATGCAGTGATGCAACTTTGAATTTTTTTTTTTATATGGAAAAAATGACTCATCAAAGATCATATGACAAGAAATAAACACTCTTTTATTGGAAGAGTGAAAAAAATTGTATCCTTTATGTTTATTCTTACAAAGACACAAATGATTGTTTTTGGATCAAATTTGTGTTGTCTTGTATCCTAGGTGTAAGGGAAGCATTTAGACCTAAAGACTTGAAGAGAAGAATGCTCAAGATAAGTAGCATGCATTGTAAAATATAGAGATTTCAAATTTAGAACAGACAAAAACAATGTATTAATAAAGTAGATAACAATAGTGAAAGCTTCAACCTATAAAATTAAAGGATTAACATTGTGAAATAGTAGTCATACTTAGTTCCCATATTATTCTATGTAGCCTTTCTACTATACCTATTTGTTCTGGAGTATAAGAGCATGATACCAGATGAACCATGCTTGTTGAGAGGAAGCAAGATGATAGCTTAGAGTTTATGAATTCTACTCCTCTATTAGAGTGAAAAACCTAAACCTTGATATGTTTGTTAAATTATTTAGAGACAATTTTCAAAGGCTAAATAAGCATTTGAAAAGTCAAACTTATGTCATAGAGGGATTATCCAAGTATACTTGGAGAAATCATCTATTAAACGTGTATAATATTTGGATTTTTCTATTGATAAAATAGGAGTAGGTCCCCACAAATCACATTGAATTTTTTAAAAAAATATTAGAACTAGATTGTTTAACATGGGAGAAAGGTACTCTACTAAGCTTTTTAAATTGATAACTATTATAAACACATTTATGTTTTATAGCTTTGATAACATGAATCAAGCCTTTATTTTTCAATTTGATCTTTTATTTAATTTTAATTTTTTTTCTAAACTATTTTGTATAAACTTTGATGGTTCTTAATTTCATCCTTAATCCAAGTTTATGTTGTACTATTTCACTTTCTACTATATCTGTTTGTTTCGAAGTATAAATACCTGATGAACCATGCCTCTTGAGAGGAAGTGTGATGCTAGTTTGGAGTTTATGGATTCTCATCCTTCATTAGAGTAAAAAACCTTGATATGTTTGTTAAATTATCTAGAGACATAATGTTCAAAGGCTAAATAAGCATTTGCAAAGTCAACTTATGTTGTAAAGGGATTATCCACGTATACTTAAAGAAATCTTCTACTAAACATGCATAATATTTGAATTTTTTTATTGATAAAATAGGAATAGGTTCCTGTAAATTATAATGATTTTTTTCTAATATCATAACTAGAGTATTTAGAACAAGAAAAAGGTAATCTATTAAGCTTCCTGAATTGACAATAATAACAAACATGTTCATGTTTTACAGTTTCAATGACATCATTCAAGCCTTTATTTTGCAATAATTTTAAAGTAGAAAATTGAGGATATTCTAAGCGTTGATGCCAAATATCTATTGATCATAATCTGAATTGACAAGAGAAGTAGAGCTCAGGCATGGTGGGAGAGATCACCCTTGCTCCTCTTTGTGATCACAAGTTGCCTTATATTTCGTTCTTTAATGCAAAAATCAACATTACAAAATTCATAATTAACAAGAAATTGGGATTGAGATGTTAGTTGACTTATAGAAAGTAAATTTTTTTAAATCAAGAACTAATAGGATACCATGAAGAGGCAAAACATTATTTTTCTTGTTTAATGCAAGAATCTTCAATATCATGTATTGGTATAAAAGACCCATTACTCATAAGAACGGAGTCTAAACCACAATAATCATGAATATTTGTTAACATATCTGATCTACCTGTCATGTAGTTGGAGGCTTCTATTTTTTATGTCCATCCTGTTTCAGTGATAGTATTGTCCAAAGTAAAAGCTAAAAGAGTTTGTGGTATGTTTTCATGTTGAGTAGATTGTTTTGATACCCCACCAATATATTTTTACAATATGTCTGGCTACATCATAGTACCAACAAGTTTCTTCTTGGTGTAATTCTCATTCCGCAAGTGTCATGCGGTGTTCACTAGGTGAAGGAGGATGTTTGTATTGAGGGTCTGGAGTAAATCTAACATAGTAGGTACGATTTCTATCTTGATGTTGTGCATGGAAGCCTCTTCTGGTAGATATGAACTTGTGCTTGTTGCCATAATTTTCTAAAGAAAACTGTTGAGAATGCTGTTGTCTTCGCCCATAAGACACTAGATGTGGGGTGAATGAGTTTGATTTACTTGTCTAATTAGTAAATCAATTGCATCTTTGATCAAGACTTTATGGTTGTGAGACTAACTCAGAATATGAAAGCCTTGGTGGTTTTAACATGGTGGTAGTGGAAGTTTCATATTAAGGATCAAGACTAGCAAGGAGAAAAAAAACTTTTTGTTTGAAATAGGTTTTTTAATAGCTGCAAGATTGTCACATAAATCTTTAAAGATATGAATATGTTCTCAAATAGTTCGGTCATCTTCTTTGTGGAGATATGTAACTTGTTATCTGAGAGTGAATTCATGTTCTTATAATCTTCTACATATTTATTCTTGAAAGCATTTCATACAACATAGGTTGTATTTAACCCACAACAAGGCTTGATGTTTCTTCTAAAAGCATCCCAATTATCCAACCATGAAGGAGACGATGTACCTTTCTCCAAATAATGTATTCTTTGGTTAGTTTTGGTGCAGAGATGTTTGAATTTCTGGTGTTATTTGAGTCTGGTGTGATATACTTGGTGGAGGCTGAATCTTCATTAGTGAGGTGCCTAAAGAACTCTTAACTTCCTGCAAGAGCCAAGGCTTCTTCTCTTCATAAGGGATAATTTGTATAATTTGTAGGGCTAAGTTTGAGGGTAATGAAATTACCAACATTGAGAGACATTGTTGTCATGCTGTATGGTTCTGCTAGGATTGGTGTGTGTTCACACTGGGTCTAATACCATAAAGAAAATTGAGAGACAAAGGTGCTTGATGAAAGATAAATCTTTTATTGAAGGGGACGTGAATGTACATCAATACTTTTACAGTGCTAGAGTAACTGATATTTAACATAACAATAAGGTATCAATTTGCATAGAATCTGTGCAAATAAAATCTCTAAAATGTGATTTGTTGTTTTGACTGATTTGAATATTAACTAACGTGATCTGATCTGATTTGTTTCGATGATATGCTCGTGTAACATCAACTTTCTTTTCATCATAAGTTACCATCTTAGGGTGAGTTTGTTGCTATTGGGACTCCTTCACGAGTTACCATCTTGAGATGAGTTTATTGCCATTGGAACTCCTTCGTCTGTCAACTTCTCTCCACTAACATAGGCTGATTTGTGGGAGTATTCATCCTTGTCACTCCAATTGTTTCGGGTTTCCTTGTTACTCCAGTTACGGTTGATACTAGCACCCTTCAATTAGTAATTTTTTTTTTGGTGTTGAATTTAGTGCTCAAAATTAGAAGTTCACTTCCAATCACAAACATGGACGTGTAAAGATAACCATGTGCAAATGATTTACAGTGGTAAAGATTCCATGATACTCTTTATGTAATGGTCCATATTGATCATTAAAATTGGGTAACACAGCTTTTAATGATAATGATTAATGGCTGCGGTTGCTATAATTGTGAACCTGAAGTAAAACTGAAGGGGTGTAACAAAACAGGAAGTGAAATTCCTGCGATGTGATATAATGGCCATTGTTCAGTTCCGGGTTGTGAAACAATAAGGTAAGGCATGACTGTGTATCTTTAGGCATTTGGCATACACTGGTTTAGACCCAGCCCTGTCATCTGTAACTTCTTCAAGAAAAATGTCTTTATATATTTGATTGCTGTTCTGAAATAAGTGCTAACTGCTAATCTACTTTGTGGCAGTGGCTTTTGCACGATTGCTGTTTCCTGCTGAGGCCAGGTTAGCCATGGACTCTGCAAATGCAAATTCAACCTCAATGTACACTGGCCTTTTGGCATCAAAATCAAAAGGCTCAAGTGGGGACTTAAGGGAGGTTGATTTGAATGAGACACCCACTGTTCAAGCCAAACGACTCCAGTCGAGACTACAAGCACTGCATAAAACAGGTACAAACTGCAGTCTTCGGAACCTCCAATTTTTGTTTGCCAGTGAATTTTTACTCTGACTTCCAGTTTATAAGTCAATCGTAAGATTTTCCCTGTCCTTTTTTTCTTACCGTAAATGTAAGAGAATCTCAGAGAAATCATTTACGCTGTTGTTTTTGTGTTTTAAAAGGATTTTTGAAAAAAATTAAATTTTTTAATTTTTTTTCACTTCAAATTAATATTTTTTTATATTGTTTTTAGATCATTTTAATGGGCTGATATAAAAATAATTTTTATAAAATAAAAAAAATATTATTTTGATATATTTCTGAGTGAAAAATATTTTGAAAAATAATTATAACTAACTACCAAACAGGTTAATATATTGATCTAAATTTGTGGATCCTCTTTCTAGTCATGTAAAAGAAGTTTTCAGATATACCCTCATGAAGCAACATGAATGGGCAGAAGGCTTCTCGGGCAATTTTAGTTGTTATTCCGCACAGATGCCATTCAGCTCTACCGCCGAACATTTTATTTACTGCGGGACTTGCATATAGACATGTAATTTGTGCATCCAGGTGTGTGCCCTGTGTATGTATTATGCACAACGGCGAGACAGAAATGTTCAATGACTCGTCTTAAGCAAGATACTTTTCATAATGGTCTCTTTGACCGCTCAGAAGACATTAGGGGGATTAGATTACTGATAAAAGCAGTTCCATTGCCAACGAATGTGGACACAAAACCTTGAAGTCCCTTGAGTTGAACATTAACACCCTAATAATCAAATGCAACTTGCAGTAGATGGGCATGAGTCAGGATTTGTATAAACACGAGTTGCTTAATGCATTTGCTGAATTTTCTTTGATGGCAGTGGAGACAGGTCGGCTCTATTTCCCTCATTGCTCGGAAGTGCTTGACAAGTTTCTGGATGATGATATGCCTGATGCTCTCTTCCTTGATAAGGGCACTCCAGAAGAGCAGAAAACCAAGAAGATGCGCTTCATGGAACTTAAAGACGATGTGCAGAAGGCGTTTTACAAGGACATGGAGAACAACAGATCTGTCCGCTCATCATCTTCTTCGTCCTCATCTTCTCCAAAAAGCGGTGTAACATACAAGGCAAGGAGAAAATTCTAAAACTTGTGTTCCCTGTTCGTCTTTCCTTCCAAGCAAGACTGTAAGATTTTTACGAGTGTATTTTTTAAGGGCATTCGTCATCAATGTGGTTGACATCCAAGGTTATTTGTATAGAGTAATGCTAAACATAAAAGAAAATATGATAAGAAAAAACTCCAAAAACACAAAAGAATATTTTAAAATAGGATGTCCTTATAGGTCACAAAATATATAATACATTTGGAGTGTTTTTTTGTCATCTTTTCTTAATATTTAGCATTAATTGTTGGTATGATAACATAAGATTGATAGCATCCCTAAAAGAAGTTTTGCGGATTTTCTTCTGAATGTAATATATCTCGAAGTCACGGGCTTGTGAAATTGATTTAATGTGTGATTTGTATTAATTGTATGATATTTTTTTAGAAGTGTTTTTGATAATCCATCAAAATCATTGAATTGATTTAATGTGTGATTTGTATTAAGTGTATGATATTTTTTAAAAGTGTTTTTGATAATCCATCAAAATCATTATTTTCAGAATTTGTTTTTTAAAATTTTGGTATCAAAACCATAAACAAAAACATTTTAAAAAAGTATTTGATATGTTTTTAAATGAAGTGTACCCAAAAACAAAAGTTGTTGTATTTCTAAACACTCACTTAAAAGCTTTAAAATTAAAATAAGTGGTGCTTGAATATTTTTAAAAGCAATAAAAACAAATATGAAAAATTAACTATTTGAAATAAGAATAAAAAGTACATCTTTTTAATTAAAATTGTTTTATCTTATTAACAAGTTTTATTTTTAAAATTTTTTTTATCATGGTATTTGTTTTTCAAAAACATATTTTATCTAAAGCAAGTTTTAATTGAAAGTTAATATTAAAATTCTAATCGAATTAAAAATAATAATTTAGATGATATGATTATAGCCTTAATATATATATATATATATATATATATATATAGAGAGAGAGAGAGAGAGAGAGAGAGAGAGAGATAAATGAATCTTATATCTATTTAATTTTTATAAAACTCAATGAAAAAAATATGTAAAAACTGCTATACAAAAATTAAGTTTCAAATTCAATTTTTTAATAAAACCTGTAGTATAAAATGTAATTAATTTATTATTAAATATCTTATTATATTTGTTTCATCACAAATGTAAAAGGTAGTGAAAAACAAATGCAGCATTAGATCAACTGTTGATTATTAACTCAATTACTAATTAATTAATATGAATGAATTGAAATAAAAAAAATAAAATCAAAACACTGAAAAACTAAAACACAATTACAACCCATAATATTTTTCCTTGCATTGGGTTTTAGATTTGTTTGTAATTATAATTTGATTTAAATGTAATGCTGTGAGAACACGTGGGCAGAACCTCGTGTCATAAAAATTCTGGAATAAGAAAAATAAAAAGGAGGGGCTGATTCCAAAGCCAATAGGAAGCTTCTCATATGGGCCCCCCACATTTCAATAGCCAATAGGAAGCTAGCGTAACGCGCACCCGGAGGTTAACTCCAATTGGTCCAGCACACGGTATCCTTAAATTAAATAATAATTCTTCTAAGCGAATCTCCTAATATCATTATTTGAGTTGAAAAGACAGAAAGTTAATAATAATAGCGATAATACCAGACATCATAATCTCACTGTCTCTCCCCTCCTCCTTTGCTACCCGAAAACGGTTCAGCCCGAAAATGGTTCAGCAAAAGCCCGCCCAACATCCGGCGATATTTCCCGATCCAGGTGAAAAAATTATATGAACACAACCAAAGTCTTTCTTCCTTCTTCTTCTCTTCTCTTTATATTATTCACAGCAGCCTGTATTTTTTCCCGTTTCTCTACTTCTTCACTCAGCACACTTCCTCCCTGTTTTTCTGGCTTTTACTCGCGGAAAGAACAAAACTTCTGTCGCTCTGAACTTTTTTTTCTGTGTTAAAAGTGTGATACTCTTGCGCTCTGCGCTCGGAGCGATTAAGGATGTGTTTTGTTTTTATATTTTTAGAAAACTAGTGATGTTATTTTCGGACAACAAATGCACTATTGATCACAGGTGATAAATGACAAGGAGCAGCAGCAAAATTAAGATTACTCTGGTTTTTTTTTTTTTTTGGTTGGCTGAAATAGAAAATCCACTTTCTTTTGGCACTTGTCTTGAGTGTGTGATCAACATCTTTGCGGATTTGCAGTTTGCTTAATGTTTTTTTTTTTACTTGTTGTGCCCAAGGCAGGAGAGGTTTAATTTTTCCGCTAGGATACAATGATTGCCATGGCGATTAAATCTTACCAAAGACATGCTGAGCTGCTGGTGAAGGAATATTTACTAGCTGATCCTTTGATTCCGTACACTTCTATTATAGGTGGCATTTTTGCTTGCAAGATGGTATGTTTTTCTTTATCATACCAAAAAAAAAAAAAAGTTTTGCTCTTTTTTGCTTCAGTTTTTGGATCATATTTCTGTTGGCTCCTTGTCAGGTATATGATCTTACCAACTTGTTCAGTGCTGTTTACTTTAAGAGCTATTCCAGCCTCACGAAATTGCAACGTATTGAATGGAACAACCGGTGATTGAATCTTTTCGATTAATGTTAATGTTCTTATTGCGTTTTGTTTTGAATTTTAGTAACTTTGTTTCTACTATCAATGCAGCGCTATATCCACTTTTCATGCTGTTTTCATTGCAACGATGTCACTATACTTTGTATTTTGCTCTGATCTTTTCTCTGATCAACGTCACGGTGGCCTTGTTACATTTCAGAGTTCTGCACTGTCTACATTTGCATTGGGGGTAAGGACGATCCAGGTTGCTTTTGTTTATCCTGGCATCAAGTATATTTTGCACGTTTAAGCTGTAAACTGCATTGAATTTTGGAGATGTTGGTGTTGATTTAGTTGTGCAATGGGAGTCAGAAATAAACCTACAATTTCCTTCTCACACATTAGGGTCAAAATCTTCTTTGTTGTTGACCTAATAGTTCATCTCTGTTAATCGCAATTGAAAATAACAGACGAATGTCTTGTGGGAAGCCACAAATAGATGGGAAGAGGTAGTGTCGTTTTCTTACAATCCCAATGAGCTGTTGATGTCTTGAAGGTGATATTATAGAATTTGTGTTTATGGCATTGCGCTCGAGTGATAGGAAAGATATGGACGGAAAATTGCCAGTAATGCACAGGGAAAACTGGAAGGCAAAATTCCTTGAGCAGAGTTTGTTTGGAAATTGTTCTGCGGGTCCTGTTTGATGTTGTGAAATGAAGAAACTGATGGTCATATTGGCAGCCTTTTTTGAAAGATAAAAACACTCTTTTCTATCTCAAATCCTAGTTTGACAGACAGAGTTCTCCAGAATACCCAGTTGAGCCCCCTTCCCCTGGGGTGTTTTGATTTTAGACAAAATGGTTCTGCTTTGGAAAAGTTTGCCAGCTCCTGCACTTGTATATTGAAGCCGTACTCATCAATAGGAAAATATTCGGTCCCTTGTAGCTAGTCAACTTTTGAATGGAGAACAAATAAAATGTTGTGTGTTATTGGTTACCGCACACCTTTACATTTTTTATCATCCGTTAACTTTCTGGGCTTTTTGGTGTATATCACAAGTTATCACTTTATGGAGTGCCCTTGTCGAAGATTTTCTATATTCTCTTAATTTCGAATTCTGTAAACATGGATTTTACTGTGTAAGAATTAAGATTACGTCTTCAAGGATTTCTCTAACTTCTTTGATCTGCATGATAGTACACATACATGGAAGTGGGGGGGTACTTCTAAAACACATTAAATTACTTTCTTATATCTACATGCATCGTTGATGGAGGAATTTCATTGCTTGCAATTACCTCTTGATTGCCATTCCTGTGGCTTTATGCAGAAACTATCTGCCATATGCGGGCGGGGCATCTTTTACCCAAGAGATTAGTCTCGCCAAAAGTCTGGATGCCCATGTCATCAAGAAGATTTCTACAGTTTCTATTAGATTTGACGCTTTCTGTTTGCCTAGTTATATCATTTTCTGCTGTGCTATGCGTCCTTCATCTCAATCTTTGTTATGATATTAACAGGTTTCTGTTGGTTATTTCATTTCTGACCTTGGGATGATTATATGGTTTTATCCTTCTCTTGGTGGGATGGAATATGTAAGTACATACTCTTTTGTGCAAAGATTATTTAAGCCCAATACTTTATGTTTTCCCCTGTGCTCAATTTTGGTATATTTGTTTCTTTGCAAGCACAACCTATTTGATGAGACATGTCAGCTTGGAGGTTTTCATTAAATTTGGAATTAATCATGGATACGATGATAACATCATTATGTCAGGTGATTCATCACTTTCTTTCCATGATTTCTGTGGCATATTCTATGTTGACTGGGGAGGGGCAACTTTATGCCTACATGGTTCTTATCTCTGAGACAACTACTCCTGGAGTCAATTTGAGATGGTAATTTTCTATTTTAATTCAATGGCCAAGCATTGTGATCAACTGTGATGCTTAGCTTGGTTTTGTGAAGGTATCTTGACATAGCTGGAATGAAGAGGTCTAAAGCATATCTCGTAAATGGGGTTGTGATATTCTTCGCTTGGTTTGTAAGTAAATTGTGAATTGAAATAAACACCCATTCTGCATTACTAATTTCTGGCATGCTTATTAACTATTATTATAACTATGTGCAGGTTGCTAGGATACTCTTGTTTATCTACTTGTTTTACCATGTCTCCCTGCACCAATATCAGGTAATAACTATACCTGCAAAACTTCTCCATATCATGATTCTGACTGTGTGATGCAAATTTGGGAAGCATGACTTGTAACAATTTAAAACATAACTAGTTGAGTCTAATTTTGACTATAAGATCGAAACTCCAAGATTGATCACAAACGACTAGTGAATCTTAGTTGAGTTGAGAGGAATGCAATCTGTTTGCATCATGTTGCAAGCAACCTCGTTTCCACCAGAACTTATAAGAGGTTTTTTGTGCCGTATGAAATGGGAAGGAGACTGATTTGTTTTGCTGTCAGATCTAAAGAAATGCTTCATCTTGCCATATCCCAAACAGCTTAGGAACAACGTTATAAAGCCTCGTTGAAAAGAAGACCGCAAAAGAGAAGAGTGTCTGCATTTTACTCGTGTAGTAATTTCGCACAGATAGACATGAGCAACAAACTTAAGATGAATGCTTGATGATTTGTGTTGGGATTTCAAACTTGATGGCTGCATTTTCTTTTATCTCTTAATGAATCAATGCTTCCTTGATGAGTAAGATTTGCACGTTAATCGCCATTCTTGTTCCCTCCCCACAGGTTAAACAAATGCATGCTTCTGGACAACTCTTAGCACTAGTAGTGCCAGTAGTGCTATCTGTCATGAACATGATGTGGTTCTGGAAGATTTTCAAGGGGATGAAAAAGACATTAGCAAAGCGGCACTGAATAACATATCTAACTGGAGCTGCATAAACAAGTAGGCAATGTATACCTCAACTCATGCCACTGATCGGGTGTGTTTATTTTGTGCCTTCTCTCCCCCTCTATCAATGTGCACATCCACGATAGGAAGCCTTGTAAAAAAGGAATGTGTTTTCTTTCTGTATGTCGATCCAATTCTCGAGAATAAATTGGATACAGGTCTATACTGACAAGTAGGAAAATCGAAGGTGTGTTTGTACAGAAACGATGAGATATGCTACGGCATGCAAATGCGTGCATGTGTAACTGGATTTACTCTGTCAATACAAATACTTAATAGATCAGAGTAGCCTGAACATTGAAGTAATGTAGGAAGCGACAGGTGAATTATGACATGAGATACGCAAGCGAGCAATTCATTACAAGTCAATTGAATTACATTTCTTTATTCTGTTCATGCAATCAGTAGGGGCGTAGAGATAAGTAGAATGTCGGTGTGGCCCAGCATCTCCTTCCATTGATTCTTGATAACCTGCTGATTCCACCCGAAACCTCTATCTCCGCGGAATCAAGGGTCAAGCTTCTTCGACCGGGCAAGGTGTTATCTTTGGAGGGGCAAGGGCTATCTTTAGGCAAATAGGGAAAGGAGGATTGAAATCAGGTGCGCAGCAGAGGAATTTACTTTTCCAAACTGTGAAGGTCGCTACGTGTTCTGGAATTGTCATACCTCACTGGTCTCTAAATTAATATGTCCTCGGTGCCCGTGCTTGTCGCGATATCAGGTTATTTTGTTTTAGCTAAAAATAATGTTTATTTATCGGAAACATGTTTAGAAAAAGAGAAAAAAATATATCTAACTATATTGAGATAAACCTAATACTCTCGATAAGATTCAATAAAATCTGGTAATCTAATGATTTAATTTTAAAAATAGCTAATGATAGTTAACAAATTATAAAAAAATATTTGACAATAATTAACTAAAAAAATATTTTGTCAATATTTTTTTTAAAAAAAGAAGCTTTATGGAGACTCATTATTATTTCACTGTGAACATTCTTCACCACTAGAAAAGTTTGCAAAAATGATTCAAAACTCACCGTAAAAGCTCACGACATCAAAAGAAACCTCACAGCCGCTAAAGCAATAATTTGGAAAGTAAATTAAACAAAAGATCATAAAATAAAACTTATTTTAAAAAATTAAATTTAATAAATAAAAAGATTCAAGATAACTCGATTAAATAAATAAAAAATCAATTTAAAAAATTTATCAAAGCAAAAAAATAACTAAAAAAATATAGATAAAATTTGATAGGAAAGAAAATGTAGGATAAAATTGTATAAATAATTCAATTCTACAAGTTATCTCAAATTAGATAAATAGCAATTAAAAGAATAAAAATCGATTTTGAAAAATAAAAAAAAAAATATTTTATAAATTATTTTAAATAAAATAAAAAATAATAAAATAAATGGAAAGGAAAGAAAAGTTGAAGAGCTTATTTAAAAAATTAGAGTAAAAGGCATAAAAATCAAGAAGGAAAGAAAAAAAATAAAAAAAATAACCACTTGCACCAAAAGATTTGGAGAGACTTTTGAGATAAATAAGACACTGTCTTGAAATCACATGTTTTTTCCTATTAGAATTAGTTGTATGTATTGTCTAAAAACGATAAAGTAGCCGATACATTAATTATTTAAAAAAATTATTTATTAAAATACCAAATTATGCTTAATCAAACTTGATAATAAAAAAAATTAGTGAAATGAAAAAAATAGCTTCCCAAGGTATGAGAATTTGAACTTTAAATGTAATTAGATATTTTTACTGCAATTTTGAAGGTAAAAAAACTTCCCTCATGGCTAGTTAAAGGTTTTTCTAAAAATTATAAGGGTAAATAAATTATTTTATTGTACACTTGGATATGAAATCAAAAGCTTTTAAAGGTATTAAAATTATTTTATTGTGCAAATAAAAAAGCAATATGTTCATTCCCGGTCAATACTTGAAATGCCCAAATGCTTCTAATGCAAAGATAATTTACATTCAAGGATTTGCCTATAAAGTGTTTTTTTTTTTTTTTAAGGGTAAGGTAGTCAAAACATTTTTCCCATAGATCCTTGCCATCGTGTTTACAGTTCCTTAGTTTTTTTTTTAAATAATTATATAAGTTTGATTACGGTTTTGTTTGTAACAAAGAATTTTTCTTTGGATTGAGAATCAAAATTAATAAATTTACATTGATGAAGTCATCAACTACCTCATCATGCACCACGTGATGAAAGCATTCGATTCTTTAAGATCCATATGACTTTCCCAGTCAACATCCTTTTTATCAATGCATCTAAACAAATGTTTAATTAGATACATCATCATCGTCTCCATGGTTGTTATTGCAGCTCATTTTGATCTTTAGGCGTATAATATAACCAACATACATTTGCAGAGTTCATGAAAACCTAATTTGAATCGAACAGACAGATTGCAAAATTTATGCATTGAATTTCTACTCTAGGTAATATATAAAAGAATATTTCATTAGTTTGTGTACTCCCCTCTTCCTCTTTCTTGTTAACCAAACTGTATCTCCCTCTCCTCTTGCCATTCCCTTTCTTGCCTTCTTTCTTTGATTGAACCATTTTTCTATATTACATGCTTCAAACTAAAAGATTGAACCCTAATTTTTCTACTTCTATCTAATAATGGCTCAAGCAAAGAACACCAACAGCAATTCCTTCAACCTCCATTCAATCCCGAAAAATCCCTTGAATAATGGCTCAAGAAAGCAGATAGAGTTCTTTCGTTTGGTTGAAATATCTAATCCACTGCTTTACGCTTCAGTTTGTAGAATTTTCTGAACTTCACAAAACCAAACCGCGAACACCCTTATGCCGTAATATATAAGAATGTAGTGCTTAGCCCCAAAGCAGAAAAGGGAGAAGAGAGAAAAGTACAGGAAGAATTAATAGGAGAGCATGGAGAGGAATCTCAAACTAAAAGATAAGTCAAGCCATCGACGAAATAAACAAATGACAACTGCATATTTACTGAGCTTCACAAGAAATTAAGAACCTTCTTTCACAAACGTTCAGTCCCTGAGCTAACACTCGATCGCTTATTTTGTCACTGACATAAATAAAATTCACGACATTAATTTCTATACTATTCAGTCAACTCGAGCTACATATATATATATATATATATATATGAACTACTTCTACAAAAAAGATGGGGTACGTAATGTTCAGATGGTTAGGTCGAAGTTTATGTGATTACTCTCAAACTGGAGATCCTGTATGTTTATGCAATTATTTGTTGAAGTATATTCACGATGATGTTGATCGTTAAGTAATGGCCATAACTCTCTTCCTTCGGTAGTACAGCACGCCATTGATGGGATGAAAGACAGTGAGAGCTCACAAGTTTCAGCTGGTAGCCTGTCAATATTTTCTTCCCTGGACTTACTGCCAACAAAGCTTGTGCCTGAATCCTGCAAAGATTACGCCAATTCTGTAATTAATCGATAATGTAATGCCATAGGAACAATATCGTCGGGATTGAACAGCCATTTTAACATGCATGGGGTTATATTAACTAGTCCATGTTCACCAGGAAAATTAATCTCATCAATATATATATAAAAAAAACTTAATTGTACATGAGTGTTGAATAATTGATACTGGCCAACAGTCTACTCTATGATGTGTAATAGTGTTTTTGGAAAAGAAAATTGTTTTTTTTTTGTTTTAAATTATTATTTTTTATGTGTTTTAAAATCGTCTTAATATGTTAATATAAAAAATAAATTAAAAAATATTATTTTGATATATTTTAGGTAAAAAATATTTTAAAAAACATCTATTGAACTATTAAATATGCTTAAAAATTTAAACTTAAATAATAAATCAAACATAATTTATAGTATATTTGCTGACATCATTTATGAAATTAACTACTTGACATGTATGAAATGATTTGAGAATCACAGTAAAATGACCTAGCATGTATCAATATCTAATTCCAAATGTATATCTGCAGTCATCCCTTGCATTAATGTTGAATAGCTATTTTATTTTAAGAGTTTAAGGGAGGAAGGGAGAGCCTTTACATAAGATCCTAGCAGTTTTTTAGATCATTGATATCATCCTCTAGATATAAACTGGTACAGACTTGATTACCTAATTAACAACGTTTAATTCCAATATTTTTCATGATATATGTACGATCTCTCAAAGGTTTAATTTACGAACTAATCCTGGAATTAATCAACAAACAAATGATTAACTTTCATAAGATTTCTATAACGTGGATACAAATAAATTAATTATTATTTGATGTATACGTGTGTGTACCTGTTGCTCTGGGTCACCACCTTCTTCTTGTGCTTGTAGGATTCCGTTGCTGTCAGTATCAGAAAACATATCAAATTTTGAATCAGACCTCTCACCTTGTAGTACCCTTCAATACACAAACAGCAGCACGAGAGGAGGTGTTTTTAAGCATAAAAAATATTGCGAAGTTTCATTGTTTAAAGTTGTATCTGCGTCTCATTTGCCAACGCCTCAAGATAAGCTATAACACTTAACAAATTGAATAATAAGTAAATGCTACAGTGACATTTAAAGTAATTGTCTTCGCTATTCACGTATAAAAGCATTTCTTTATTATTTAAATATTGAAATTACCATGCAAACTTTAGAGCCATCTTAGAAAACAACCGCAGAGACGTTCGCTTCTCTTTTTGAATCACCGTAAAAGAGGATTGTAAATTAGCTTATACATGATTTATTCATAAAAAAGGTTGTAAATTAAGGGTTTTCATAAGGGAAACTTGAAGAAGAAGGAGAAGGAGAACGTGACCTTAGCCAATAATGACCTGATTAAATGTGGCAACAAAAGTATAGATGATGATTAAGGTTTCATGAGTGAAACGTGTGCTCAATTTTTTTATTTTTTTATTTTTTTGGCAGACAGTAAAGCATGTTTACCTCTGAGAGGAGAAACTTGAGGAGATTCCCATGTCATCAAGTAGTTTTCTTTCTGCTTGCAGATGCTTCCTCATGGGTATAATGACATTGAAGTTTCTGGGACCCTTCATGCTTCTGTACATCTGTCAAATCCAGATTTCAATCTTGAAGATAGAGGGAAAAGCTAATATATTCTCCTCGTTATGTATGTTTACCTTTTCCCCTGGTCCCTTGTGCCTTTACTTAGTTAAGATTATCCATGCAAAAAGAACAAAGATTCTTTTCCATGCTATCACATGCAGATACAATACAAAATGTGGCTAATTAACTAGGTCAGCATAAATCTTAGATTCCTCTCAATGTACATGCATCAGAAAATAATGGATCTTTGATTTTTCTTTTTCTATCCTTCTTATAGCAGCAAACTT